AAAATGTCAATTAATATTCTTTATTGCGATGTAGGAAAAGGTCTGAATTAATTTATAACTAAGAGGAAAATCACGTGTGTGACAGTGTGTGTGACAGTGTGTGTAAGGTCATTGTGTTAGTAGTACCTTGTGTGTCAGTGCTTGCATAGTGTCATGTGTGACTTGTTAGCTGTCTGCATCATTGTGGTCAGTATGCATTGTGCCATGTCATAATGAAAGTAGTAGTGGACGGTGTGTAAGGTCAGTGTTTGAGTTGTGATCTGTTTGTCAGTGTGTGAGAAGTGTCTTGTCTGTCAGTGTGTGAAAAGTGTCTTGTCTGCCAGTGTGTGAGTTGTGTCCTGTCTGTCAGTGTGTGAGTAGTGTCGTGTGTTATTGTGTCAGTCCATGTATGTGTTTGAATAATATACGGTGTGTCAGTAGCACCCTATGTGATTGTGTGTACGTTTTGTGTGGGGTGCCATGCGTGCTTTGGGTGTCTGTATGTTATTGTTTGAGTTGTGTCCTGTGTGTCGGTGCGTGTCATTTCTTATGTTTGAGTAGTGCTATGTATGTCAGTGTGTCAGTCGCATGCTGTGTGTGTCATTATGTGAGTATCAGTTGTGCCAAATGTGTCAGTGTGTGAATGGTGTCATGTGTGTTATTAATTTAGTATGTCTGTGTTTGAATAGTATACAGTGTGTATCAGTAGCCTATGTTTAAGTATGTAAGTACAGTTTTGTGTTTGAGTGTGTGTTTTCTATGCTGTGTGTGTTATTGTTATAGTCGTTTACTGTGTGTCCAGTGTGTCGCGTAGTGTGTGAGTATTGTCCTGTTGGTAGGTGTTAGACTACTGTCCTGTGTGTTTTTATCGTGTCAGTAGTGTCCTGTGTTATTGTGTCAGACGCTTCCTATCTGTCAGTCTATGAGTAGTGTCCTGTTTCCCAATGTGTTATTAGTATGTCAGTGTGTGAGTTATGGCCTGTGTGCCAGTGTGTGAGCGATGTCCTGTCTGTAGTAAGTGAATAGTATCCTATCTGTCAGTGTGTGAGTCGTTTTTTGTCTGTGAGTGTGTGATTAGTGTCCTGTCTGTCAGTGTGTGAGAAGTGTCTGTCAGTGTGTGAGTAGTGTCCTGTCTGTCAGTGTGTGAGAAGTGTCTGTCAGTGTGTGAGTAGTGTCCTGTCTGTCAGTGCGTGAATGGTTCTCCGTTAGTTCCGTTTTTTGTGAAAGCTATGAATTGTGTGAATTACGTTTTATATTGAAATCGCCATTACAAGAGTCATTTTTATTATTGTTGTTGTTAGTATTTTTAGTGGAGTAGCGGGGGATCGAACTCGCAACCCCTAGACTTGTAGTCAGACAGTTTTACCACTGCACCACAGCGCCCGCTCTGATTTATAACTATTTTGTAGTCCCTATGTACATTATCACATTAGTAAAGAAGAAATTGAGTAATACAATTGAATGTTCACACCTAAATAGTTAATGTAGCTTTTAGGTGTTTTACAATGGCTGACATTCGTGTCCATGCTCGAGGGGATATGATATGGAGTAGACACAAACGAGTACTGAAAGTAAATAAATAGGACTGTTAATAGGCAATAAAACATATTAGAAAAGTCATGTTCTTTTTTATAGAACCGCAGTTCTGATATTGTTGTAACCAACTCTGTTAATGGAAGATAATCGCTGCCAAAAGTACACATTGTAAATTGCAGCCTCTATATGTCTGAAAGTAAATTCGTTTTTTATTTGGGTTTTTTTTTTGTTGTTTTTTTTTTTAATTTCATGGAAAATTGTGCTGTCTTCTAACTCACTATACCACTTTTATTTACAAGATGATTTCTTCTCACTCCTAATAAATAAATAGTACTTTATGGTAAGTCTCTCTTTTCATAGCTAATAACATAAATTCTTTGCTCATTTTGAAACAATTAATTGAATATTGAATGTGGTCATTATGATGTGATTATGTGATAAGATGTTGTTATTAAATACCTTTTTATTATCTACCATTTCAAAACATGTGTTTATAAATTATTTTAGAAATGTACTGCACACCTCGAAATAACATTTTCTATATCGCAAATCGGCCCTTTCCATCAGTCTTCGGATAAGGACTAATAGCCTAACCGAGGATATTCCGATTGTCGTCACGGATATCCACGAAACCATAATATAAAGTTGTTTGAAAATATTTTATCTTGCATTACTGCTACTGCTGTGCTACTGCTATTGCCAATTTCACGTTTTATAATTTGCCAATTGCTACTGCTGTGCTACTGCTACTGCAGATTTCACGTTTCATAATTTTGCTACTGCTACTGCTGTGATACTGTTAACTCCACGTTTACTACTGCTGCTGCTGCCACTGCCCACTTCCCATACACATGTAGCAAAAACAAATTTTGCTACTACTGCTGCTGTGCCACTGCTACTGTCAACTTCACGTTTTATAATTTTGCTACTGCTTCTGCTGTGCTTCCGCTATTACTAACTTCATATTTTTTATTATGCTACTGCTACTGCTGCGCTACTTCCAATTTCAAGTTTTATAATTTTGCGACTGCTGTGCCACTGCTATTGCGACTGCTGTCAAGGGCACTGCCAATTTCACGTTTTACTGCTGTGCTATTGGTACTTCTGTGCTACTGCTACTGCTGCGTTACTGCTACTGCATGCTCTGCTACTGCTACTGGCAATTTTACGTTTTATAATTTAACCACAGATATATAAACAATATATCTTATCTCCATGATTTTACTACTGATACTGCTGTACTACTGCTACTGCAGATTTCACGTTTTATAATTTTTCTACTGCTAACTTCCCATACATTTTTGCTACTGCTCTGCTACTGCTACTCCCAATTTTAAGTTTAATATTTTTACTATTGCTACTGCTGTGCTACTGCTGCTGCAGATTTCACTTTTTATAATTTTTCTATATTGAGGGTTTTCAATATTACAGCTTCCTTCTTTAGCAGAACATTACGCTATACCAGTGACCTTCTTTAGCAGAACACTACACTATACCAGCTACCTTCTTTAGCAGAACATTACGCTATACCAACTACCTTCTTTAGCAGAACACTACACTTTACCAGCTACCTTCTTTAGCAGAACACTACGCTATGCCAGCTACCTACTTTAGAAGAACACTACACTTTACCAGCTACCTTCTTTAGCAGAACACTACGCTTTACCAGCTACCTTTTTAAGCAGAACAATACATTATACCAGCTACCTTCATAAGCAGAACACTAACGCTATACCAACTACCTCCTTTAGCAGAACACTACGCTTAACCAGCTACGTTCTTCAGCAGAACAAGGTGTTATACTACCTACCTTCTTTAGCAGAACACTACGCTATACCAACTACCTACTTTAGCAGAACACTACGATATTCAAGCTACCTACTTTAGCAGAACATTACGATATACCAGCTACCTACTTTAGCAGAACATTACGCTATATCAGCTACCTACTTTAGCAGAACATTACACTATACCAGCTACCTACTTTAGCAGAACACTACACTATACCAGCTACCCTACTTTAGCAGAACATTACGATATACCAGCTACCTACTTTAGCAGAACATTACGCTATATCAGCTACCTACTTTAGCAGAACACTACACTATACCAGCTACCTACTTTAGCAGAACACTACACTATACCAGCTACCTACTTTAGCAGAACATTGCGATATCAGCTACCTACTTTAGCAGAACACTACACTATACCAGCTACCTACTTTAGCAGAACACTACGCTATATCAGCTACTTACTTTAGCAGAACCCTACACTATACCAGTTACCTACTTTTAGCAGAACACTACGCTATATCAGCTACCTACTTTAGCAGAACACTACACTATACCAGCTACCTACTTTAGCAGAACATTACACTATACCAGCTACCTACTTTAGCAGAACACTACACTATACCAGCTACCTACTTTAGCAGAACACTACGCTATACCAGCTACCTACTTTAGCAGAACATTACGCTATACCAGCTACCTACTTTAGCAGAACATTACGCTATACCAGCTACCTACTTTAGCAGAACACTAGACTATACCAGCTCCCTTCTTTAGCAGAACACTACGATATACCAGCTACCTACTTTAGCAGAACATTACACTATACCAGCTACCTTCTTAAGCAGAGCACAACGCTATACCAGCTACCTACTTTAGCAGAACACTACGATATACCAGCTACCTACTTTAGCAGAACATTACGCTATATCAGCTACCTACTTTAGCAGAACATTACACTATACCAGCTACCTACTTTAGCAGAACATTACGATATACCAGCTACCTACTTTAGCAGAACATTACGCTATATCAGCTACCTACTTTAGCAGAACACTACACTATACCAGCTACCTACTTTAGCAGAACACTACACTATACCAGCTACCTACTTTAGCAGAAATCTACACTTTACCAGCTCCCTTCTTTAGCAGAACACTACGCTATAGCAGCTACCTTCTTTTGAATTAGCAGAACCCTACGCTTTACCAGCTCCCTCCTTTAGCAGAACACTACCCTATACAAGCTACCTACTTTAGCAGAACACAACGCTATACCAGCTTCCTTCTTTAGCAGAACACTACGCTATACAAGCTGCCTTCTTTAGTAGAACGCTACGCTTTACCAGCTTCCTTCTTAAGCAGAACAAGGCGTTATACCAGCTACCTTCTTGTTGCACTTTCGTGTCGAAAAAAGGCGAAAATATGACATGACTTAAATCAGTCACCACACAGATTGTATATTTATCAATGCATGAAGTATCAGGTTTAACGTCGACTAATCAGATGTAATTATATACGATATACTTTTAGGTTGAGTTACTCATATTTCAGGCAGACTTATCAAGTGTATGGGGCATTTTTAGACCACAGAGCGTTCGTAATATACTACTGTCAATATAAATGATTCGGTGAACAAACACAATGGCTCGGCAAAAATATATTTTTGTTTTTCTTTCGAATAGCTTCACTTATAACAAGGGTTTTAATTATTTGTAAATTCTCGTGTACTTAGTTTTGTCAAAGGATTGACTTCTCTGTAAATATTTGGCCAACGTATATCCTATTGTTTACTTTTCTTGTTTAAGTATAATTATTATAATAAGCATATATTATATGAATAATAACAAGTGGCATGTTTTAAAATTAATATTATTTGGAAATAAGCTCTTAAGATATAGGTAAGTAAATTATTATAAAAAGTTACAGTTTTTTTTAAATTTTATTTAAAATTATATTATTTTTTATGAAATTAATTATATTTATGCTCATATATTCAATTATTCATCGCGTCGTTTGATAAAACATCATACATGTATATTTATATTTGTTATAAAGATGTAAAAGCAGAAATGGGTTCAATTGCAATTAAATTTTAATCAATTATAATTAATTACAATATTTCAAATAATTGAAAAAAAAACATTAATTAAGCTAAAACTATATTAATTTACTTGTGATTTATTAATAACGCATACATTATAAAATTTGACATATAATTTGCAACAATAAAAGCTGGGGTTCAACAAGTTGGTTGGTAGTTAAAACCGACCTCGTTTCTTCTGATAAAGTCGAATCGCATGTATAAAATTTGAACAACCGAATAGTATGAATTTGAGTTCACTGTTTTATCCACATGAAAGACTCTTAAAAAAATAACTCAATAATGTCACACGTTTTAGAATTAAGTTAATACTGTTAATGATTTATTTAAAAAAATAATAAATTCATTTAAGCCACGTCACGACAAAACCAACATAATGGGTTTGCGACCAGCATGGATCCAGACCAGCCTGCGCATCCGCGCAGTCTGATCAGGATCCATGCTGTTCGCTTACCAACTCTGTTACAAGCAGAGAAACTGATAGCGAACAGCATGGATCCTGATCAGACTGCCCGGATGCGCAGGCTGGTATTGTCGTGACGCGGCTCATTTTATTGGTTTTGTCGTGACGCGGCTCATTTTATTTCAACAGCCAGTGACAATGGTATTGCTATTAGAGCGTACCGGAAGTCTCATTGATTTGCGCAGGACGCAGAGAAGAGTTGCGGCCCTTTTATTGAACGACACGCACATGAAGTTACAAAAGTTTAGAGTAAGATGCTAAAACAACTATATCTTTTCAGGAATGTAGCAAAACTAGTTACTTGTTTTTTCAAAATTAATGTATATTCTAGTACAATATAATCCGATATTTACGACCATTTTCTTTTCATAGTCTGAGACAATCGTAACTTTTCGGCCCAGTCCGTTAAACTTCGGATAAGGACTTAAATTAATCTGTGCGTTGTTCCGAGTGAGTCCTGTACTCTTTAACTGTAAAGGCTGAATGAATAGAATTCATGTGAAATTTCACAGGAGCCTGAAATTATATCAAAAACAAAAAAAATAACGATTTAAAAAAATTTCCCTTATATATACTATAAAAAACACAAGGAAGGCAACAACATTTCCCCACCCACCGCTACATTTACCAGGAATATTTATAAAAACGCCTGGGATTTACTTCCGAGCACTTTTAATCAATAAAGCACATTAAAATCTATCAGAAACACTGATTACTCTTATCAACTATCCAACTTTTACGCCAATTGAATGAATTTATCACTGCATTTCTCCCATCGTCGGTTCCATTGCCAATTCTGCGCTAAATTCCCGTCATACGTCATAGACTGGTTTTTGTAGTTCCCGAAACTTATCAAAACGAAAAAAGAACGATTTAAAAAAAATCCCATATTATAAATACTATTATAAATATAGGATTTTTATTTAAATCGTTCTTATTTTTTTTGTTTTGGAAAGATTTCGATATCTACAAAAACCGGTCAATAACGGTATGGCGGAATTTAGCGCAGAACTTGTCAATGGAACCGACGATGGGAGAATGCAGTGATAAATTCATTTTTCAATTGGCGTATAGTTTTGGATAGTTGATAAGAGTTAATCAGTGTTTCTGATAGATTTTAATGTGCTTTATTGATTAAAGTGCTCGGAAGTAAATCCCAGGCGTTTTTATAAATATTCCTGGTAAATGTAGCTGTGGGTGGGGAAATGTTGTTGCCTTCCTTGTGTTTTTTATAGTATATATATGGGAATTTTTTTTAAATCGTTATTTTTTTTGTTTTTGATATAATTTCAGGCTCCTGTGGAAATTTAAATATGTCGATGTGTCGTTAAATCAAATATCATATTCTCAATTATATCATAAATGTTTCACTTTCATCTAAGATAATTATCTCCATAATATGACTTTCCATTCTTGTTTTTTTTGTGGTTGTAGCTACGCAGACGCACGCTTCATCAAAGTATGTGCCACGTTTGTAGTCGAGTTGACCCTGGTGGGATATTTCGAATACCAAACGGCTATCTATACAAAAAAGGGTTCTTTAATTCTGTTGACCATCTGGACAATGCGTTGCAGACGACAAGTGTGCACGTTCCCGAAGGCCGTCCAAAAACTGGTTGTAAAGATGATACTTCTTTCTGTGATTCTGAAGAAAATCAACCTGAAAAAATAAGCGTTACTATTCGACGCGGATCAAAGTCCACAAAACAGCCGTCACCTTTAAAACAGGAGAAAACGCGCGACTCATTTGGGTCAAGGATAAGCAATTACAAACAGCAGACGAATGAATTTTTAATACAAAGGGAAATAACTGATGGTACTAGCAAAATAAGTTTACCTCCCTTAACCCAAGACAGAAATAGTCGTTTGAGTGGTAAATCTTTTAATACAACGAAAAAATCAAGCGCAGCCAGAACAGCTTCCGTTGAGCTTACTTGTTTGTCTGGAAAATCTCCATTCATGTCAGGTACTCTTCTTCCTGAAGGTATAAATGACATTATGTCTGATGGAGATCGTATAACTTTCATCCCTACTGGTTTTGACGACAAGAGTGTAATATCTGGTCTTTCCACTTTTAATGAAGGAACAACGCCGTCGAAATCCAGCGATGACCTTGACTCCAAGTTTGCGTCAGGGGAAGAAAGGTCGTTGTTTAGTAAACATTCGTTTACGACATTGCAAAGTAAAGACTCACCGGGAACAATACCAACACGACGTTCAGTTACACCAGGTGGCAAGCATTCACTTTCTACATTGCAAGGTAAATGGTCGAGGACGACAAACAGCAAACGGAAATCGTCTCCTTTCGACCAATCGATGGAAGTTGATATTGTTTCTGACAATGTAGATGTTGCAAAGAATACGTTTTTTAGCCCCCAACCACTTGTTAGAGAAAATGCAATGATACCGGAAGAACGTGAGGTTCTGAAAAGACCAAAAGCGGGGCACCAACGAGAAAGAATTTTGTATGTGACGTCTGACAGAAGTACCTCAACAATACCGACACTATCAGGTAACCAGAATCTTCTTACTCCACAAAATAGGTAATAGTTACACCGCAATGATAAGTACAATGATAACTTGTCTTTAAAATTAGGCTTTACTTTTTGGGTATGTGTTTTTTTTTATTTTAGACTGATCATATAATAAAACAGTTATTGACTTATAATCTATATGACATTGTCATATGACATTTACCGCTAAATATCGTGAACATCCTATTCAATAGCTCACTAGTCAATAATTGTATAATATTCTTATTACGATAATTATCTACATTCCTATTACGATAAGGTTTAATATTGCTATTACGATATATAGATCTATATTCCTATAACGATAAGGATCTATATTGCTATTACAATATATAGATCTATATTCCTATTACGATAAAGATATAGATTCTTATTACGATATATTACGATAAATAGATCTATATTGCTAGTACGATAATAATCTATATAACTATTACGATATACAGATATTTATTCCTATTACGATAATTATCTATATTCCTATTACAATATGCATATTTTTATTTCTATTACGATAATTATCTATATTCCTATTACGATATACAGATATTTATTCCTATTACGATAATTATCTATATTCCTATTACGATATATAGATCTACATTCCTATTACGATAATTATCTATATTCCTATTACGATATATTACGATATAAAGATCTATATAGCTATAACGATAAATAGATCTTTGTTCCTAGTCCGTAAAATACCGTGACATAACTCATTTTCCATACACAATGTTCAACTATTGTTAACGACAACTCAACACTTCTTAACACTAAATTTACAAGATATGTTGACCGTGTACAAGCTTTTAACTTGCGTTTTATGGGTTTTTTTTTTAAATTTTCAGGCCATCAAAATGATGACGACCAGTTGATAAATCAGAAAGATGAACAACAAAGTGAGAATTTCGAACATGACTTGGAGGGAGTTAAAACAGAAATGGGAGACTACTCTGAAATCGGATCGTCAAAAGATATCAGTGAAGACGCCACCATTATATTCTCGGAAAGAACAGCGGATTCACTAATCCAGCCTAGCAGACGAGGATCAGTTTGTATGTGTTCTTCTACACTTAGGGAGAAAACGAGTTCTCAAAATTTATGTAAAGTTTGTGGAAAAAGTTATCGGTTAGACAGCGTAATGGTAAAAAGTGGTATTTCGCAGCTAATTCACAATTCACGAGCTGATAGTGATACTCGCGCTTCTTCCAGCACGCGCTGTTTATCGACTCGTCAACAAATGCTCCAAAATGATATAACAAACTTAAATAGAAGAAGTAAAACAACGCTTGATCAAGACCACGTGACCAGAATATATACGAGTAGTGGAACATCAACAGACGACGGCAAAATAAGACGTATTTCAAGAAGTAAGACGTCATTAGATGATGATACTCTAAATAGAACAAAGATAAAAAGCCAATCGACATCAGAAGAAAATCACGTGACGCGGATGAATATAAGAAGTAAGCAAGCTATCGACGAGGACTACATGGATTTAGATTCTATCATATACGAAGACGATGGGAGGTACTGGTCCAGTGGCGAGGAGTCGACGTCGCCAACGTCTTGGTATCGTCATGCTCATCCATTTCCATTAGTAAACCCTGATGTACACAAACTGGTGTACATGCAAGCTTTAAAAGCTGCCCGTCTTCAGGGTTCTAAAAAGAAGTTAGAAGATATTGACGAAATGATAAGGCGTCCAAACGTTTTTTCTTATATCCCATTTCTACCTATCAAAGGCAAAGCACAACCGGAGGACCTCGGTCTAAGACCATACCGCTCCGATAAACCAAAAAAGGGACAACTTATGAAGCATATATTTGGTGAAGTTAGACTTGATGACTTTTATGAGGGACTGGTCAACAAAAATAATAGTGACGTCATTGTTGAACAGTCATCTAATGAAGCGGACGTCGACAAAAATGTCTCTGCAAACGTTCCAGCTCGAGCAATATGATTTTATTTAGATTCATTAGTCTGTATCATCCAGACGTTATGTTGGTAACAATCATCAAACGTCCATATGATAAAGACTAATGAGGTGTGTGTCTGCGTACATGCGTGCGTGTGTGTTTATTTATTATACTCGCCACCGGTTGCCCATACGGGCGAGTCCTCAAGAAGAGTATTATCCATTTTATATTTTGGAGGATAGTGCAAGATACATATACAGAAATATTCCCATATTCCAGAAACTCCTGGTTCTTTAACGTGCCAAGTGTATAAGCACTCATACACGGGACCTCGATTTAACGTCTCACCCGAAAGACTGATTAGATATTTTCGTTGGCCAGCCCGGGAATCGAACCCACAATGTCGGCTCTAACCGTTGCATAAGACTAATTATATGTACTTAGTTATATATTAAATATATGAAATAAAGCAAGAAAGTCATATAAGTAGGAAATACTACATTGAAAAATCGACACACAGCAGCCTGGACTGGAACCACGGGTCTCTGTATTGCATTGTGCTAATCACTACACTACACTTAATTATTATGTGTTTCCAAAATGTGCTAAGACTTATGTCAACGTTTGATACTTTTGTTAATATCAAATTATCCTTCAAAACAAAGGCAAAAACTAAATATATATAATTATGTAATAAATAAACTTACCGCACTAACAACATGTGTTTTCGCCATATGTCTGCCGTGTATTCTCATAACCTAGTTTAAATTGAGAAACTTCTGATAGTTTTCCATAGTACATTGTTGTATGCATATGTACATTTAAGTACTTATGAAATTATTTATGCATAAGATTAAGGGAGACAACATAATCTATATATGATCTTAAATGAAAATACGCATTTACCTCCCTCCCCGTAGACGTGAACTACAATATTTAAACATTACGAAAATTAAAATGACTTGATCGAGGCAAAGACTTGTGATTGTCTTAAATAAATAAATGATAAGTACTGCTCCACTCGAATATAAAACACTGCTAGACTTATATACAAATACTGCTAGACTCACAAACAAAATACTTGTGGTCTCACCAACAAAATACTCCTAAACTCACAAACAAAATACTGCTAGACTCGCAAACAAAATACTGGTGGTCTCACAAAAAATACGGCTAGACTCACCAACAAAATAATGCTGGACTCCCCACCAAAAAAATGCTACACTCACCAACAAAATACTGCTAGACTTACACACAAAATATTGATGGTCTCACAAACAAAATACTTCTATGCTTTCATACCTCAGTAAAACCATTTTTATCGTGTCGTTCAGAAAATAAATGAATTTCTTTGTTGAATTTCTTCGTTGGAGCCATAACACCAATATATATTTTAAGCTCATCTTTTATGTGCTTGTATGCACGGTATAAATTAATGGTCACCTTCGTACTTTTGTTGGTGTTTTACCCTTTTCCTGTATTTTGTTTTGTATTTTGCCAATTTCATCTTAGTCTATCCTTGTAGTTGGTAGTCTATACTTGGTACAATAGCCTTTAGAGTGTTAACAAGGTTTTTCTATATTTAGGATGTGTGGCTTAGTTTTAGACCCCAGGTTATCCATACTCAAAATTTCCTAGAAATCATCAAAGCAACTTTTCTGACCAATTTCCAGGATATTTGGACTGAAACAGTAGTCCCTAGAGTGTTTTCCATATCCAACCTATGCCCCCTGGGCTGGGGCCAATTTTAACACTAGAGAGAAACGTTGAACAACTTTGTTAGAGGGCATATAGATGATATCATTTACCAAATATCAAAGTTCTAAGCCTCATATCTTCAGAATTTAAGTTTTAACTATATGCACATAATGAAAATCAATGACCCCCTGGGGCGCGGCTAATTTTTAGGGATGTCATTCGGAATCCGGATATCCGAACGTTCGCATCACGATTTGGTGTCCGGAGCCGATTTTCGGATCCGTACATTCTTAAAACATATTTCAAAATAATGAGATGAAAGACTTGTCATAAAAATGTGATAAATACATACGTTGAAATAATCGACGTAGACATGGTATTGACACCTGTATATTGTATCTTAGTTTGACAATACACATCATAATCTCTGCAGACCACCAAAGGGGTACGGCTCATTGAGTCCATTCCCATTACACTATATACTAATATATAGACAATTGTAACAACTCCCATAAAAAGGTACCTATTCCCAATCAGGGTTTTTGCCTCCCAGTTTTTTATACGATACAGCATAAATAAAAAATAATTATGCAATATGTAGTCGAATTATTTATCTATCGAACCAATGTAAAACTTTTCTTATCTCTCTTTACTTAACGAGTACTGGCCGCCAAAGTAACAAAAACTGTTCATTTTTGACTTAGGATAAATGTTTTCTACTATCAAACACATATTTTGTGAACACTCAATGAGCCGTACCCCTTTGAAGACCACCAAAAAATCAATAATTACATTTAGGTTTAAATATCGCACATGTTGTTATATCTGTATTAAATATAAAATATTTAAAGTTTTGTAGGAATGAAGATAAATATTCTATATACTCGCGGGCAATTAAACAAACACTCGGCAGCGATATTAGAAATTTTATGTCCAAATTTAGGCCAATATTTTTATATATACATGTATATTTCGGTGTACGGACATAATCCCCTTCGGACAAAATCCCCTTCATGTTTTTTTGTATATATCTGGTCATAATCCCCTCCATAGGTAGACATAATCCCCTTCATGTGTGAAATTTTGAAGTGAACGCAAGAGCGATCAGTAATCACATGTGTCGCCTCATGATGGCCAATTTCATGTTGGGACAAATTTTGTGACAGACGGACAGACAGACGGACAGTGCACAACTAGACTAACCACTTTGTACTGATCATTCCTGTAAAGTTTGGATAAAATTGCACCAGTAGTTTATGAGGAGTAGTCCGGACAAGCTTTTGGGTATCTGGCAACACACAGAAAAAAACACCTTTTTATCAAAGGGCCATAACTCGGCCAAAAATCATTCAACCAGAAAACCCGTGCAATATGCGCAAGGACTTGAGCTACAGATCAATCCTGTAAAGTTTCATTGAAATTGCATGAGTGGTATAAGAGAAGTAGTCTGGACAAACTTTACAAATAAAAATTATTAAAGGGCCATAACTCAAACAAAAATCATTGAACCGGAAAAATGCTGACAAATATGCACAACTAGACTTGGTACTGATCATTCCTGTAAAGTTTGGATGAAATTGCACCAGTAGTTTATGAGGAGTAGTCCGGACAAGCTTTTGTGTATCTGGCAACACACAGAAAAAAGAAACCTTTTTATCAAAGGGCCATAACTCGGCCAAAAATCATTCAACCGGAAAACCCGTGCAATATGCGCAAGGACTTGAGCTACAGATCAATCCTGTAAAGTTTCATTGAAATTGCATTAGTGGTATAAGAGAAGTAGTCCGGACAAACTTTAAAATTAAAAATTATTAAAGGGCCATAACTCTGACAAAAATCATTGAACCGGAAAATCCTGACAATATGCACAACTAGACTTGGTACTGATCATTCCTGTAAAGTTTGGATGAAATTGCACCAGTAGTTTATGAGGAGTAGTCCGGACAAGTTTTGTGACGGACGGACGGACAGACGGACAGACAGACAGACAGACAGACAGACGGACAGACGGACAGACAGACGACGGAGAAGTGATCCCTATATGTCGCCACTACTCCGTAGAGGCGACACAAAAATCCCCTCAATAAAATTGCTACCTAGGACAAAATACCCCTCGGATGAATTTTCTGTTTATAAAGTGGGTATGAGAGTGACATACTGCATTATGCTGTGTGGTAAATATCTTAATGAATATATAAGCAGAAAATATTTCAATTTATATTTACATTTATTTTTCAAAGCAATTTTAATTTTATAAGTTTATTTCAGTCTTATCCATTACATGTACATAAAATACAAATATACATTCAATAAAATTTAAAATACATGTAAATGGTCATTCTTATAAGAGACTACATGTATGTTGTTACAAGTATCATAATATATAATCCACATTTAAAAGGTTAGATCAGATTAAACCTAACACAGAAAGGTATTTTACATAGTCATATATGAGCAATCTAGTAAGATCAAATAAAATACACATCTAAGTAGTTGTTTGACTGATAATATTACTTAACTATTAGATAAAAACTTTTAATTTGTAACAATACTTTAAAACAGCTAAGATGTTTATTTCTATACACTTTAAAATATCTTAAAAACAGCTAAGACTTTAAATTCTTTAATTATGGCATAAGCAATCATAACATAAGCAAATAAATACAGATCAGCATGATAGTACATTCAGTTAGCACATTGTTAATTTCTTAATGCTAAATAAGCAAAAAATATATCAATTATTTTTCAAAGCATGAAAATAATACAGATCAGCAGAATAGCACATTCAATTAGCACATTTTAATCACATTAAAATTTCTTTGTTAAAGCGTTCATAACAATAAAATCAAGTAGTGCAGTGATATGGGTTTGATTAAATAATCACTCTTTCATCAATAGAAATTGTAACAATGGATATATATAAAAAAAATATTAATTAGAATTATCAACTTATCAATGAAACAATTATTGGCAAATGTTGAATTATTTCATACATTTCATTTTTTTTATATTAAAAATACAAATTTAATAGGATTACGCTACAAATATGATTACTTGCAAACAAATTTAACTCTAATTTTTGAAATTATAAGAAATGTTTTAACTCGTCAACTCCTTATTTTGGAAAAACAAAAAATAATGATAAAAATTATAAAATAATTTTAATCATACATTACTGAATCGCTATTTTTCAGATTTTGTCCAAAACACTTGTCTTGATAAACGGATTTAAATAAGTGTTTCTCACAATCAAATCAACAAAAACACTAACAAATAATAATATGTTTTAAAATTAAAAACACAGCTTTTAGTGTAATTTATCCGATAATTATCCAACAAAAAAATTTTCTTCTTAAATATCAATCAAACATGTGTCTATTTTTGTTCTCTTTTTTTTGACATATTTTTCTCTTATGAACACTAAAAGTGTGTAAGTCATGTAAGTTTCGGCACCTTCTTTGATTGTTCGGATCAAACAGCCAGGACTACATGTGTGTAACCATCAAAGATTGGCAGATTCTTTTAAGAGGCCAGCTACACACCTGTCAAAGGCCATCGTGTGTAAATTGTATGCGTGCTATTGAACAATGGCAACATTATATTTAATTTATTCATTATTCATTATTTCACAAATGTGAGCGAGTTTTATTGCGTATTATTACGCTAATTATGGAATTTTGGGAATCGGCGATGAATTTCATTTTCATAAAAAGTAAGTACCATATACGCACCATATTTATCGATAACAGTCAAATTCTTTATACAAAAAATATAATCCACAACGAAAAATTTTTGATATGAAAAGGATGAAAAACGACATCATTACACTCTGAAAAAGGTCGCGAAAAATGGATACGTCATATAGCCAACTAAGAATACAAGAACGATCCGAACATCCGGATGTATCCGGATGTGTTATTTGGATATCCGGATGGCCGTTTCCGCTCCAGATGACATCCCTACTAATTCTGATGCCCAGGACTATAATTTGAGCAATATTGGTAGAGGTCTACTACACAATGTTGCATGCCAAATATCTAACCTCTAGCCTTTGTCAATTCAGAGAAGTTTATTTTGTAAGTTTTTACTATATACACATAAGGTAAATCAATGACACCCCTAGTAGTAGAGATTCATGCTAGAAACATCCCTGAAAAAATTCATCAAACCAGTGGTTTCTGAGGAAAAGTCTTTGGTATAATAGGTTGACAACGGACGGATGTGCCTACATTTGTGTGCTTTTTTCTTTGATCTTTATGTGGCATTTTTCCATATAACCAGTAAAATAACCATATAAATCTGTCGGTTTATGGGGTTCTCTTCTTTTTTTAACTAAGCTTATTGACGGAATGAAGCTCTCAGACAATATGATGTTTGTCCGCATTGACAGACGATGAAAACCGGACAAATTGTGATCACAAAAGCTCACCTTGACCACTTTTTGCTCAGGTGAACTAAAATTGCCAGTTTTTTAAATAACACTATGTATATATCATGAATTTAACTATAGTGTATAGATTTTAAAACAATATAATATATGACCATAACACACTACAATGTATATATTTATCACATTGAATTTAATGAAAAGAAAATAAAGGAAATATTATTTCATCAGATAAATATATAGCCATCATCATTTACAAATTATTATAATACACTATTGCTTATATGTCACTGAAATCGCTATATTGTATACCGGTAATATAGTTTTCAACGCTTATTTTAAACTTGCCAGGAACTTATAAAATTTGACAATGATGAATATTTTGTACCAAATATTAATTTACAATATTAATGAACATTTTCAATACTCGTGTCCACAACTTGGTCAGTCAAAAGCTATTATACATGTACATATATAAACGTACATAGAAATTATATAACTAAGAAATGGTCCAATCACTGCGTGTTTGTATCTTCCCTTAGGTCTGCGAGGCTCAAGTCTTTAAAGCATTGAAGCGTTGTCAAAAAGCAGTGAATGCTACGCAATATCAGTGTGTGTCTGACTATAAATTACTAAAGGTTTTGATTTTCAATTTCCCATTGGTAAAGCTTTATGGTTTTGTCTCCCAATTTGACTAACAACTGTCTCCATACTGTCCAGTTTGACTCTATCAGCATCGAACAAAGGTCAGATGGTTTTTGTTCCATTGCAGAAATACTCATGTTTATAGCTTCATCTTTCACGGTGATATGCCGTGCTTCACCAAGGCCTTGTTCTGCATCCACCAATGCCTGGACGTAGTCACATTTTCTTGTCGCGCTGAAAACATTGTAAATAGGTGTTAAGAAAGGAGAAAATGTTAGTAAATTGTAGCTGGAAAGTAGACGGGCGAGTCTTCCGTTTCCATCTCCAAATGGATGTAATGAAAGAAAACAAAACAGAAACAGACTTGAACATTTAAAATACAGTTTTGCTTTTTCTTCATCTGAAACATTTTTCTCTGTCTTATACTTTCAATTATTTCATTCACTTTATCAACTAAAGTCTGGATAGCTTGTTCAGCTACAGCTACATTTTCAAATTTAGGGTATTCGTGTGTTTTCCCGTTAAATTCAGCTGTTCTTGGGTACGTACTAAAATTACCGGGAGGTGTACCTTCATGCATAATGTCTTCCATCAGAATGCGATGTGTGTGCTTAATCAAAGACTCAACTTCTATGAAGCCTTTACTATCATGCTTTACAGAAAAAAAATCTATTTCTTTCTTTGGAGTATTGGCTTCAGCCATATCATCCATTGATTTTTTAAGCTCATCTTTTATATGCTTGTAGGCACGGTACAAATTAATGGTCTCCTTCGCACTTTTGGTTGGCGTTTTACCCGTTTCCTGTATTTTGTCATGCATATTACCAATTTCGTCAAAATCTAAACTTGGTAGTTCAAGTGAATTATGTCTTTGATACAACAATTCAGATTTATTTTGAAGCAGCTGTTCAACACGTGTCGACATGGCACCATTTATTTCTTTATCAATATCTTCCATAATTGATTCCGTCAAAGTTTCTTCTTGTACTCCAATACCTTCTTCTTTCTGTATAGTGCATAAAAATCTAACAAGTAACCATCTGTGAATTTTCTTCCTTTTAGCTTCTGTTGAAGTTCCCTTTAGTCGCTCATAGGTTCCCTTGTAAATAACTATATCTTTTAGCATCTCAGAAATAGTTGGTGCGTCTGTGGTCCTCGTTTCTAGTCGCCATTTCGGTATTTCTGTTGGTTCAAATGCAAGGAAATGTTCCACATTACCTGATGACCATCTGCCTTGACCTGTAAAACAGTTCTTATCAAGTTATATTACAGATATCAGTTATATTACAGATTTATACATTCTATCGAAGTGCAAAGTGCTAAAAATATGGTGGCTGTGTGCCATTCGTATTTTCGCCCCGCAACTCCGCCAAGCGAAAAGTCGAGAATTAACAAGTTCAAATGGCGGGGACGTTGAGGGAAACACGTTTATAAGCGGGGCACGGAGCGAGATTTAAGGAATTAAACGGCGGGGATGAGGAGCCAAAACACGCTAATTAGCGCTCCCACTAATCAGCGTGTTTTCGCCTCGCGTCCCCGCCATTTTAACTTGTTCATGCTCTACTTTTCGCTTGGCGGGGTCGCGGGGCAAAAACACACTAATTAGCGGGGCGCAGGCGAAGTTTTATTTTAGCTGATTAGCTGATGCGCTAATCAAGCTGACAGGGGGTCTAATAGATAAGCCAATCGGCGATAGTTATCAGTTTTACACTTAGATGTCTGCAAAGTACGCCATTTTCCTTAGACAAGTTATTTGTATACGACAATGGTGCATCAGTATTTATATTGAAATAAATTTGATTTTTTTTTTTTGTCAATTTAAAGCTATTAAATTGGTACATTTAAGTTACCAAAAATCCTGAAATATTGACAGATGAAGTCAGTTAATTAGTCCATTTTACAAAAAGAAAATATCAGTAACTTTCTATATATAAGGATAATATGATATATAGCACGTACGAAAGTTTAAACTGGCTTTACCAAAATGCACTGAAAAAGAATAAAATTAAAACAAATACTCTATTCCTTCCTTCATTACAATAATGTCTATTAATAATCACATCATATATCATAAGGTCCCAGAATATCCCAATGATATGACATTTTTGTTCGTTTATAACATAGTGTCAATAAAATGCTGCCGTAGAAATACTTGCAAATAAAATGAGAGGATATGCAATAAATAGTTTAGGTGAAATTATCCTACCTAAATATTTCTATTAAAGCTCAATGGATCAAGATTAAATCTTTAAATACATCTGCTTCAATAGCATTATATCTGATCAAAGCCGAGGTCTGGTGTATGCGAAAGTTATTTTTGCGTTTTATCACGAAACATATCTAATGTACAAATATACATATAATCATATATCATACTACAAAGTTACGCAAGGGTAATTTTCTCATTCAATTTTAACAATGTATGCACAAATACATTATACATGTACATGTATATTGATTTCGCACATATAACCCCAAAATCATTTGTAAATGTTACTGTTTCATTGATATAATTTTACTATTTATATGTTCCGCTACTTCAAATTTATTTATCTCTGATTTGTAAAATGATTTTTTGTCAGTAAAATCTTCCTTGAAGTCAACGAGAAATATAACGTAACCTTTGCAAAACGTTTCATTCATCATTAATACATGAATGCAGTTATTTTTTTACCTTTTTAAATACCATATTACATTGAACTATTCAATAAAATCATTAAAATTCTATATATACCAAATTATATAAGGTAAATTCATTAGTCATTTTAGTGACATAGCAGTTTCGCGTAAACGTCGGTACCGTCTGGTGTCTAAGGTTCTGAATGACCAGGTCACGTGAATCGGTAGGCGGAGCAATCTCCTCTCTGGCGTTATGTCAATGAGTGTATTTTCGCACCGCGTACCCGCCGTTTCATTCCTTAAATCTCGCTCCGCGCCCGCGGGGCGAAGTTTTATTTATTAAACTTTGCCCCGCACTCGACTTATAAGCTTGCTTTCGCTCCGTGTCCCCACCATTTAAACTTGTTAATTCACGACTTTTCACTTGGCGGGGTCGAGGGGCGAACACACAAATACACAAAGTAGCCACCGTATAAAATAGTTATATATATAAATTGTAATCATAAATTAAAGGTCGTTCAATACGGCATAATTAAAAATGGCGCGGTTTGATTTACATTCTTTATGTACAGAACTAGTAAATATAAGCTATCTGCTGTATTAGCATAGCATGAATTTTTGACTTGTTTTATTGAGAAATTCGAAACATTTCCAAATGTGTTTATACGACAATGATCATGATAACTTAAATGTATCACTTTTGTGCCTTTCAATATTTTTTAAACAAAATTCAAAATTCTCACTTTCTGTTTCTCCGTTTCTGAGGCGGGGCTTTTTGGATTCAGATCTGTCCTGAAAATATAAGGTCAACTTGTTGCACATTATGTGAAATAATGGTCACACTTTATGTATGTATATATACATAATAATTGAAATTATTTAATGCAGATTTCAAGTTGCACGCCTCCAGATAGGCAAAAATGATTCAAGAAAATCAATATTGAGAAAAATGAACTAAAATTTTAAGAAAGGTAAAAACATTCAAGATCCAAGTTATATTTTTCATGCTATGTGCGGTTTAAGACTTATTTTGCGGTATTTTATTACCATATTTCTACTGCGTTATTATAACGCAGTAAGGGCTATTTTTGCATATATTGACGTCTTTTTTGGTAATTTTCTTGGATTGTAAGTGCTGATTGCAAAATGCAAATTACTTTATTTTGTTCACCTCACAATATTTTACTTTTAAATACATTTTCAATTTTTTTCATAAAAATTTAACATGAGTCAGAAGGCGTGCTGCTTTCGTGCAGCTCAATTTAGAAAATTATAATAGATATAATACATATGATTCGGAATTATTGATTAAAACGTATTCAAATAACGTTGAGTCTTTGTATTATGAAGGGCACGAAAAATGTTTTCTTCGTTTAGTTTTAGCCTTATAACATGTAAAATAATATGTCCAATTATTTGAAATAGAGTTTATTCTATTCTAATAGATACTGCCGCCGCAAATGCAGACAATCTACATGTACATATAATAATTATGTTTACAAATTTTGAACATAACCGGTACCTCATATTCACTTCTTTGTTGATCATGCCCATTATCATTTGGTGTTCTTCTTCTGGTACGTCCATCCATTCTGACTTTCACCACGACCTCTACAATTATTACAAAATGTTTTTAATTCAACAAAGGAAATAATTAAGATTTTGTTAGACCGAAGTTAATCAGTATTGGTCACTTGAGTTAAGGAAAATAAAGATAAATAATTCCGAGAAGAGGAACCTTTTTCTAACAAAGGCTGTGATTTTACCACTAAAAGAATTGCATTTCTTAGTCTTTTGTTTTCAAAACTGAAAAGAATGACTCCACTGCCGGACAAATTAGCACGCCTTCTTTGCATATGACAAGAACACTGTTCAAACTCTTTTTGGCTTCTGTAGTACAACGACCTTTTTTTACTTTTCTTATTTAAATTAAAGTCACCCACGTATAAATCAATTTTATTTTATTAAATCAAAATCTTAGCATGATGATTTTCATTCAGTCTGTATAAAGCATTATAGAAAAGTGACTTGAAACCATAACTGTCATTTTGATAACTAAATGAAATTATCTAATTATTTTTTGTGGAACCATATAAAATCAAAGAAACATTTTGAAAAAGGGATTTTCAAAGTGTTCGTCATTATGTAGGTATATTTAATGGTAAAAAGAACACACACCATAGCGGCCATATCTTTGATAAATCAAATATTTAAAAATATATTGTTACATGGTCTCTGAGAAATGATATCAAGTTCAAACAGACAGCTTTTCTCAATACACATACAGGGATTAACAGACTATGTCCCCTAGTAGCATTTGTTATCAAAATAATTTGTACAACATTGGTAGATGGCCCCCTTAATTGTGACAATTTCTGTGAAATAGTGTGAACATTTATTTATTCGACGGTATTTGACAAGAAGAATTGTGCTAAACAGAATAAAAGGCAAGTTTACTCGATGTTCAATATAAGTCAACTTTAAAAAAAAATATTTACACGTTGAAAATAAAAATCGGAATAAGTTTTGTTTGATGTAATTCAAATGTATTTAGGAAAATTTTATATTAAACCTTTTCAAAATTCATGAATATAAGTGAGTAATAAATATAATCGTTGCAAACATGCAAGTGGTTAAAATTCCGCTAAACATGTTTCAAATTTCCCCTCATGCTGACTCATGCAAATCAAGTAGTATTGAGTGTTTTGTCGTTGTATACAACCACAAGGAAAAATGTGTTTCATATCTCATAAGTGCATACTGTTATCGTTTGGGTAAAAAAAACAGTTTTCCCATTAAAAATCCAAGTGGTTAATTTCTAAACATATTGATTAACTTATATTAATATAAGGCATATAATTAAGGCAATTCATATAAAGTGTCCAGAGAAAGACTACGTTAAGTCGTTAGTGTATATTGTTTAAAATTTTAAAACTACATGAAAAATGTTTTATCCGTCTTGGCTATCGTTCTCAACTACAGAGCACCTGCCCGATGAGTGTCGTATCAAAATGATTTTATTTTTATCTAAGAAAACTATTCAGTGTTGTTTCAAACTACATGTATGTATTTCAATAATTTTATCTTGGAAGGTGTATCATATCACTGTTAAGTCTTCCCCGAGAGCTATTTATAACGCGCCAGAGATGTTCGTTTCTGTACATGTAGAAGATCGGGAAACGAATATTCCACTTTACTAATTTACTTTTAGAGGTATCTAGGGATTTACGTATTCTATCTGACAATTATATGAAACGATTTATCTCAAGATAGCATACTAACCTTAGAAAAGCTGAAGGCCGCTTTATCTCTTGTGAATGGGTCTGTATCAATACCAAATTCACCTTAACTTATTCAACTTATTCAATTTGTTTTGATGGTTTCGTTTTTGAAATATTCTTTAATGGAATTTGATTAGTGGATATGTTTTGTTTGTAGGAGTGTCTTTTTCGAGTTTTTTATCATATCGTTGGTCGGTTAGCAACATAAATTCAGTGTGGACTATATTCATTAGATTAGATTCTTTTATCCTTGATATTTCAAAAATATTATAAAATTAATTATCATAAAATATACTTATTTACTTATTTCTTGGAATGAATTGTCTGTAAATTCGCTCGCTGCAGGATAGTTAAATGAAAAGTCCAATAAAAAAATAAATTCAAGTTTACATTAAAAATTGTTCTAATACGGTTTTATTTATTGCATGTAATTCCTTATTACTGACATTTTAATTTAAGAAATAAAATTGAAAATAAAATAAAAAGTATTTTTTCTTTGTATAATCTAGATCAACACGTCGTCAGATACCAACTGCCGAACCGTTTACATTTATCAGATTACATGTATGTATCCGACGATGGGATCAAGAAATCTACATATTTTTATAATGTGTACTCTTGCAAAAACGAACGGAAACTAAACATTAGAAACCAACCTTATTTCCTTCTAGTTCACAATGAATTGCTTGTACATATGCTACAAAATGGCACAATTTTCACAATGCACCACTTATGAGATCCTAGACGTTTGTGGGCTGTAGGGGAGGGTTTTTTGTGTGTTGATGTTGATAGTTTTTGTATTTTCTTTGTATTTTTTTTCTTTATTATTATTATTATTATTATTATTATTATTATTATTATTACAAAATGTATTATTATTATTATTATTATTATCATTATTATTATTACTATATGACTTTTTATTAATTTAAGTCAATATAGTCGCTCAAACGATTTAAAAATTCTGTTATTTTGGGTTTTACGTTACATGATCAGGCGGGTAAAAGATTGACTCATGACTCATTATTATTATTTATTTTTTACTAACCAGAACCAGTCACGCACCACATAGTTTTTCGAGCCAATAGTATATTCAAAATATTAACAAAGAGTTATACATGTACATAGATTGTATTTTCATTTTCGTTAAAAATAGCGAGGTCTTTTATCTACTGAAAGAGATTTAGTCATTTGATTTTCAGATATTTTTTTTTAAAAAGGAACATGAGCACAACTATCCAAAACCGCCAACTTTATACGGTGTTTAATCATAATCGTCTCAAATATTTAAATATCGTTAAAATCGCATCGTCTCGGCTCTTTCCGCCAAACTTCGGATTTTTAATAACCAAGCTGTTCCAAATAAATATTTCAAAATACTTTACCCAATTAGTTATTCAACAGAAGTCATATTTAGGAAATAAGATATACATTATAACAAACCTGATTCATAAACTTTTCACGAAAATAATATCCAGATAAAAATAACAATAGTTTATTTCACCAGTTTTTTCAACTTGCCAAGTTTAACACTTTGCTTCCTGATTTATCACTGAGCTTTATTTAGTTTATCTGGTAAATACAGCTTGACTCAATAAACTATACATAGAAACCAAACGTCATTGGTTGATTTTGAAACATAACAAAGCCGTTTCCTGTTGATACACGATTGCGCTTGATCTGCAGATTTTGCAAAAGTTTGTTTTCGGAAAATAGGCAGTCGGTTAAACAAATATTGGTTAAACCGCTCAGTGAGATAGCGCCCTAGTTTATTAAAGACAGTAAACAAAGACGGAGTTCAGATTGTGTACCGGTTTCTCTGCTTGGAAAATCTATTTATTTTCTTAAAACTTTGGCATAAACTTTGGTTCATAACATAGTTTCCTATACTTAAAGGGTCGTTTTCAAAATGTTATAGATAAATGTTTAACCAAAAGATTAATTTGAAAACTATACAGCGTTACTACATATGATTCACGTACATTTATACATGTATGTATTATACACAAGTATATCAGTCAACAAGAAATATATATTGTGTTTTACTGACAAATAGTTTTTAGTGCACGAATTCCTTCCAGGCCAGACACAACAAAAAACGATTATTATTGTACTTAAACTTTAAAAATAAATTATACACATTTAGTACATTTTATACACATCAAAGTAATTGCTTTACCCAATACATTATAACATTTTAATTATTGGAAGTCCTGTAAAAGTTGTAAAACAATTTTATATGGTTATATTTCAATAGGACAATTTTTAACTTTTATCATTTTGATGATAACAATGTTTTATTTACACTTATTAAATTGAAACTTGGATTAGTTTCTAAACAAATATTTGGCCATTAGATTTTAAATTTCACAATAAACCGCAATCAAAATATTTAAGCATGGTTTTAAGCTATTGGCAAATATATAATATAATGTAAAACCACAAAAAGGATTTATCATTGAATTGTAGTCTATTTTGTACACGTTATTGTATTTTAACTTTTGTCTTTCTGGTCAACGTTTTATGTAAGATCAATGTGATATTGCAGGGAATGCTGATAGACCTTTTTTGTAGGGAAAAATTGCTTCAACATGTTTAATTTGGTTTGATTTTTTTCTATACATGCATGATAGCTTCAAAATGAGAGGCATTCTGTATATTTTTCCTATAATCATGCCAAAGTTGTTATTTTCCTTTACTTCACACTACAAAGTGCTGGACGTACATTTGTATAAAAAATTGAATCTTTAAAGTAAAAAGATAAAGCATTTATCATGTGCCCTTTCGGTTCTTTTTACTTTTATGATTCTTATCCACATTGTTGAAGCATAATTTTAACACGGAGATTGATCTGTAAATGAAAATAGATGTTTTCTGATACTTGGGCTTATCATTAATTATTTCTGAGTGTTGTTTTCAGAGTGTTTGTTCCGCACCAGGTTTCACGTGCGTTGTTTAGTTTCCACGATTGTATTATTGGCAATTTAGACCCTTTTTAAGCGATACCAGTCAGGGAAGAGTTACTTCCCTTACCGGATGTGACGTAAATGGGGGAAAAACTATGTAGGCCGCATAGAATGTTAGCTTATTGAAAAGTTAAATTCGTAAATAGAAAAAATAATCTCTAATGCCAGGATAAAAAGCTAGTAACTAAATCAAATTTTAATATTTTATAATTAAGAAATAACATCGGCCTGAGAGGTGTATATCGGCTATTTAACACCGGTTTGGAGTTTTGATGCGTAGGAATTGACCACGAAGGCCATCAAAACGACAAAACTGGTGTTAAATAGCCGATATACACCTCTCAGGCCGTTGTTATTTCGATTCTATCAAGATAAAATAAGGAAGATCACTAATGCTGTTTTTTCAAGCGGAGATAACTTCCGGTGCCGATTTTCGTACAACGCTGTTCGATTTTCGCTGCCTTCTGTTGCAAAGATATAGAAATTATTATACAAAATAATTAATAAGAAAAAAAAAACGTTATTTTATCAAGTTTTCAACAATAAAAACTTACGTCGTATTGTGTTTACATCAGTGCCCCATTTATCATTCTTTTATGTATGAAATAACGTCAGCTTGAATGAGTTGTTTACTTACGATGACGTCATTACGCCTTACGGATTGGCGCCGTTTTGTCAAAATATTTATTAACTGATAGGGATCAAATATGTGGCATTAGGGTATGTGAGCTATTATTTCGGTATTGTATGAAAAGAAAACATTATAGGAACTGAAAATATAAATAAAAATGCTTTTTATCGTTGCTATAAAAGGCATTGGAAACTATATAATCGAGGGTGAAAACATAAAAGCCGCATATACAAGTAGTCCCTAGCCAGTGTTTATTGGCAGTTTAACACCGTTTTTTTTCCTTCTTTGTCTATAGTGACAAAATCACGTGGAGTGATAGAATGTTGTTTTTCTTTGTCTTAGTAATGCTTAAATCAAAATTATTATTAATAATAAAGTATCTTGCAATTAATTAAAATATTACGCAGCCGTTTTTCAAAACTACAGTATCCTTACATTTTTGAAACTCAAAATATCATTGAGTATTGTATATTAGCAGAGACATAGATACATTATCTATATCTCTGGTATTAGCAAGTTAGTACGATTGACTGCCTGGTAAAACTTTCATTATTAAGAATCTAACGAAAATGCTTATCAGCAATATGGTGTACTATTAAAACAAATCGTTAACCTTATTAAAGTAAACATTTTTATTCATTTCGCCATTCTTTTTATGAAATATCTTATTCAATTACACAAAATTTTGGCAATTTCAATCTGCCAATCTTACAAGAGAAAGGATTAAGATCTTTATATCCCTCTATTATTGTACTTTATCGTACCGACAGTGTCCACCGTATCCACCAATGACGTCATCAAAGGGCGACCACTTGAATACGGTCTTAAATGGAAGGGTCTATATCACAGTTTTATCGTTCAAAAAATGAAGAAGGAAGAATTGTAAAATAAGTTTCTAATGTTTAACGTTGTTAACAGAATGGTTTTACGCAAACATGAGAAAAATAATGAATTATCATGATAACAAAATGTATGTGAACAATAATGAAAAGTTTTAATTTAACAAATGAAAGAACTGGAAGAGCAATTTAAACATTAAGTATTACATTTTAATATTAGGGATAAAGTATTAGATGAAAATATGTAAAAAAAAAAAGTATGCGGAAAATCGCTGAGTGAGAGGTTGTTGACAAATTATTGATAAAATCAACTTTTTAAAGAATTGTTTAAGAATCATTGAAAATCATTGTACTAAGTTACAGAAAAAAAATGAAAATAATAATAGATGAAATGCCTACCTTGAAAAGTGAAGAAAAAAGAACAGTAAAATTAGTTTCCATTGTTTAATGTTGTTAACAGAATGGTATTGTATAACAACACACTGGCCTTTTATATAAACTTGTAACCTTAACACCAAACAGAAATGAAGACATGGTGATAAATAGAATTATAAATATATGATTACTGTCTTATAGAGACTTAGGATTTATTTGTCCATAAAACTACAAATACAAATTAATTTGTTAAAAAAATAATGGATGAAGGTTTTCTTGTAACAACAGGTACACTAACATGATTACTGGACAGATTAGTAGAATAGATAATTTTCTTTGTTTGGTAAAACATCTTTGTGACAGTTAATGTTATCAGCACAAACTACTATATAGTCACGTGACGGGCTTGTCCTTACAGTGTTTCGCTACCTAATTTCCTGTAGAACATGCATATGCCGATTTTGTCAATTCTAGGTCATGTATTATTAAGTGGAAACAGTTTACTGATAAGCACCCAGAAAAGTTTAAATTTAAACAATTCATTTACTGTTAAAATAACAGTTATTATTAAAGGGACTACACTGAGGTTTTTTGACATGATGGGACTGAAAATATTTTATCCAGATAAATGTACCATTTAATGTAGGTTTAGACCACTGATCTTTGTGCAAAATTTCAGATCAATCGAACACTTCTTTTTTCCAGATGTAAAAATATGACCCAAAATGAAAAGCGTTTAAACGCTTTTTACTCAAATCGGGCTAAGAAAAGCATAAAAATACGATTTTTAATTTATTTCAAAGTATATTTCTTAACTACCTTTACATATATTTCTGTTAAAGTGCTCCAGCTCATTTTTGTAAGAAATTCAAATGTTATTTTTTTAAGCTTTTTAACCTCAGTGGAGTCCCTTTAACATAGTTCAGATATTTGTCATTTATTTTTTTGGGGAGGGGTTTGTTGTTCTTGTTTATTCTTTCTTTTTCTTTTCTTTTTTTTACTTTTTTGTTTTTCTTTTGTTTTGTTTTTTGTTCTTAAAATTTAGTATATTTCTTTATTGTGTCATGTTTTTCTATTTATCATGTAATACATGAATACTGTCAAAATTAGACTTTTCTTTGATTCAAGCTGGAAATTATGGTGAACTTTTGAATTTGACATTTTAAAGGAAAAAAGCGCACATGAAACATCTTCTAGTAGATGTCTATCAAGTTTGTTCAAATAAAAGCCCTAGGGCCAAAATTGGCCCCGCCCCAGGGGTCATTGATTTTCCTTATATGTATATAGTAAAAACTTAAAAAATCTACTGGTGACAATCCAAAAGCTGATACATTAGATATTTGGCATGAAACATCTTCTAGCGGATACCTTCAAAGTTTGTTCAATTAAAATCCGTAGGCTCAAAATTGACCCCGTCACAGGGGGTCATTGATTTTCCCTTTATGTATATATAGTAAAAACTTAAAAAGTTTACTGGTGACAATCCAAAAGCACAATACATTAGATATTTTGCATGAAACATCTTCTAGTGTGGATGTCTACAAAGTTTGTTCAAATAAATGCCCTAGGGTCAAAATTGGCCCCGTCCCAGGAAGTTATTAATTTTCCTTATATATACATGTGTATAGTAAAAATCTTCTTGTGAAAATCTAAAATATGTAGAGCTTAGATATTTGGCATAAACATGCTCATCCAAACAACATCTAAACCACTGGTTCAATTTTGAAATAATTTTACATAAAAATTTCCTTGGTGACAGTGTACAAAATTGTTCAGATTAAGCTGTCCCTTGTTTTCAAATTGTGCTTCTCGGGTAAA